GTGATTCTTATGGAAAATGTTCTGTTTGACTGTCGGATATACACTTAAAAAATTATAAAATGTTCTGTTTGACTGTCGGATATACACTTAAAAATTATAAGACGTTCTGTTTGATTGTCGGATATACACTTAAAAAATTATAAAATCGTACACTTTGACTGTCGGATATACACTTAAAAAATTATACTGTCGGATATACACTTAAACATTATATTGTCGGATATACTCTTAAAAAAATATAAAATCGTACACATCACTAATTACACACTTAAAAATGATAAAATCGTACACATCACTAAGTTTCATTGAGATTCAAAATCCCCCCCCCCCCCTCTCTTCATTTTTGCGAGTTTGGATTTTTTTATATTCTTGCATACACAACAACTTGTTACAATCCTTATTTACGCGCTGGAACTATTTTATGGAGTACTGTTTTCAACATCTAATTTATCCAAAGTCGACTATTCTAATTTAATAGTCCTAGTAAAGAGAATATAATATTATTTGAATTTCAATCTTTGTGATACACTATTGAAGCCCTCTCACTTAATGCTAGTGAGCAGAAGGTCGCACATGCGCATTACAAAAATCGTTGGTTAAAATAGTATTGTAACGAACATTTGTTAAACCTCAATTTGTATGGTCTATAACATCTATGTCACGAAAGCGTAGTCTATAGATCGGTAGTTTGTGTGACACTTCATTACAGTAAGTATGATAATAATTTGTATTAATTTACTATTTCTTAGCCATTTACAATTTGCCAGTTTGAAAACTCGCCTTGTAAAATTTGGTAAAAGTAAAACTAAAAAGTGGGAGATTGCAATTAGTTTTTATTACTATTAGCGGGAAACCTTACATCATGGGTAGTAAAGGTTTGTTGGAAACTTCTGTTTTCATATAATGTCATATCACTAATATCGCACAAACTACCAATCCATAGACCACGCTTTTCCAGCATAGGTGTGGTATACCACACGAATATTCGAGTTTAACCGTTTAGTTGTAAGATCCGTTGATAGTTTCCTCCGGGTACCAGTTATTTCATATACTCTCACACCGCTAACAAGAACCGAGTCTAAAGAAACAAACATACTGTTGGTGTGAACGTGTTTTGTAGTCACTATGAAAAAAAAAACTACACTGGATAGGTGAAGTGAAGAAAAAGAATCATTGGTCACAATTCACTTCTTCACATTATATATTAGACTTCGAAATTAAACAATTTTCGGATTACTAAGTTTGTTTATTAAGAACTGAAGGCGTTTGTATTTTATGTACAATGCAAAGTCAGACGCTTAGGCCACGCGAGTAAGAAATTTTATATATTTGGCACAATAACTTATATTAATGATGTTTTGAAAAGTTTTCATTAAAATGATTTATAGTATTGTCATTTCAATCAAACAACTTACGAATGTGAGCTAAGATGTAACTTACAGTAAAGTAACAAAATTTGAAATTTTTTCGCGTTAAAAATATAAATGCGCTGAAGTTAGTATTCACCATATTTCCGCTTTTCATACCATTATGACTGTTATAAAAGTGCTCCATCTTTCGACTAGAAATTCAGTTCATTACTGAAGAATAATTCACTATTATTTAATAATTTGATTTTACTCATTAGAAGTGCAATTTTTTAAAAGATTAAAGCTATTAATTTTTTAATATACATATTTTATACTTATCTAAGGATTTTATTTTTTGTGTTAATTAATAGCAGTTGTTATTATTATTATATATAACTCATCCAATTTCAAATAATTACAGGAAAATGTTTTATCTTAATCTGATTAATTAATGCTTGTTTTTGGTGGATATTCTGTTAAATATTTTAAGTAAATTTTAATGAAATGAATAATATTATTTCAAGAAAATTTAATGATTTATTTATTTATTTCAGGATACTATTCAAATCGTGCTTCTTAAGAGAAATTAACCAGGTCTAGAGAACATGTAAGTGTTATTGTTTCATACAACTACTATAACAAACAATAAGAACTTAAAAGTACAGCATAAAAACTTTATCGCAAACTGATTGAATACTATACAGTTTTGGACTCCTTATCTAAGAATATGTATTGACTTATTGGAAACAGTTCAAAGAAGGGTTATCTTAAAGGGATGGGTGAAGCCAGTTCAGATCTCTCAATTTATCTTCGTTATTGAAATTTAAAATATTATAAAATAAGGGCATATAGTTTTTTTACACTATTCTGAAGACGACAACATGAGAGGAAATAAGTTGAGATTTGTAAAAGACAGACAGTGCTCCTAAAAGTTTGAATACTTTTGAATGAGGAACGAACACAACTTTATTACAAGTTTACCATAGTAACAAATGTACAACGTTTTGTCATCATCAATCATGTATGATTGATGGCCAAGTTACAGGGATATAAACTTAGTACCAAGCTTTTGGGTATATCGTAATTTAGACGCTTGTGGTAAGTACAGCAGTATATTCTCTTTTGCATGCGATTATGTGGTGGGGCTAAACCCCAGCCTATCCAAATCCCATCCTGTTATCCTTAATGTTCAGTGTTCTAAAAAAGTAAAATAAAACACCTTTTACAAAAAATTCTAACAAATTATATAATTATTCCTTTCCCCCTTAAAATAGCTTCATTGGTCGAATCCATAGATTAGTATATTTTCGTCCTGTTGTGTTTAAAGTAAGAAAAGTAGATATATATAATTTAGTACATAGTACCAGTGTCTTGATTTGGATGACGGATAGGATTTGGTGGAACATCTTCCCAACAAGCTGAGTTATACTACAAGTCAACTCAAAATGGACAGCTGCATCTTTAACATGAAAGATGTGGTATTCAGGTACACAATGTTTGTTCCTCCTTGTATTAATATTGACATTTACAAAAATTGTTCTTTATTCAGGTATATAATTACTTTTCACATAACACGTTGGTTAAGAAAGTTTATGAAGCTCCTTTCGCTTCGGCTACCTATTGTTCTGTGTCATTCACCTAAGGTAATGCCTTGTCTTTTCGTTGAGAAAAATTATTGTAAGGTTTATTACTAGTTGTATGTATCATTTTAGTGTAGACTGTGATATTTTCCTCTGGTAGTTCAGGTTACGTCTCGAAATTATATCCTCTCTTATTATTTTAATAGAAATGTCGAACAGTCACGTGGATAGCGCAAGCAGCTCTGGGAAAGTGTGACATTATATAATGTTATACTTTCTCAAACTGGGATAAAATACATAGAATACTCTTCAACTGTTAGAAAAATTTCAACAGCCACATATCACCAATAAGAGTGGCCATCCTCCAGGTTGAATAACAATACATGCATTGTTGTTTTGAAATAAATACTGTTTTTTAATGTGTGTTTCACGTTTGTGTCCAGTCACTTTCTTTCCCAAGCTCAGTCACACTTAAACAAACTCGGAATCACTTCGTAATATTTCGTGATTGAATTCCCGTTATATAACGGACCTAGTTTATTAACTTCTTGTGAAAGTCAGTTTAACCTGAGAATACCACACTTATCCATAATTTCCCAACACTTTTTAAGTATACATAGTAAGGATAAGTGTGTGATAAATCATAATTAAAGTATACAGTCGTTATTCTAATGTTAAGACATCAGTACAATTTATATACATATTTTCTTAGCCTCGGAATTCTTATTTTTAGGTCTTTCTGGGCACCAAAATGAAGACAGAAATCTTTAGAATGAAACACTGACTTGAATGAGAAATCATCAGTAACTTGTAAGACCTCTGAACAAAATATTATCACAATTGCGATGGACATATTGCAATAAAGCATTGATAGATGTTGATTTTGTGTCAATTAACATATGGATTGAGTTTTGGAATGTTTTATCGTCAATCGTGCTCTTTATTATTACTGTGATGTATTTTTTCAGCACTAACTTTGGTTGTGGCTTGGCAGGATACAACACTCGCAAGCATTGCCAAACAGCTTTTAGGTCTCTTCATAACTTTTATTTATCGCACTTAATTTATAAATTGTTACGTTTCATGTTTCTGTAATTCTAGAATATTCCCACACTTTTAATTAACTTTATATATCTATTCATGTGTACGTGTAACGTTCATTTTACGGTATTATATAAACATGCAACACGCCTAACACATCACAAGTTTGTTTGGTTCTTTGTTATATTTTTGGTAAACCCCCCATAGATGTCTCTGAAAAAGTTTGTTCCAATTTAAAAAAGATGAATTTTGAATATGATCTATTTCGATAACAATAATTTAACAGACATAATACAAACCGTAATCATATTTTTAAAACTGAAATTTGAAGTTTGAGTGACTATACAACTTTATGTTTAACACTACATACGATCGAACATCTTTAAACATCTGTATTTATGGGTCACTGGGTTCTTTGCATGTTTCAAAATGTTTACATTAAATCAATACATGTAATGTTCCTTTCTAATTAGAGAATTGTAACAGAGTTATTTTTCAGAGCGTGGTACCTTTTATGATATTAAAAAAAATTATTGGCTTTATGTATCGCATTTTAAGGCGTAATCTTGTATGATTTGTATTATTTATTTTTGTATGTTAGTCTTGAAAAATAAAGCCGATTTTAATCAAGTATATGTGCAATTTGACTAATTTTTTGAGCGGCAAATTGCATACCCAGATCTTCACTTGGTGAGAGCCCAACAGATCCAGTAAAAGTCTACAAGTAAAAGTGAACCCTTAGTCCATAATGGGCTTTCTTTTCGAAGCTCTTGTAATGTACATTAAATGTCTTACTTTAAAAGTTTTGCAGATTATTTTAAGGAGACTGCACTATTTCGTCTTTTTTCTGTTGAAAACGCAGTAAACACAAACAACTTTATTAAAAATGAGCAAAATCTCTGTGAGGATTTTCATTAGTGTTTTTCCCCAAGAAAATTGTTGTGAGACAGGGGAAGTGGATTGGAATTAAGGTGTAGCAGTCGAGTCGAGAAACTTTGTAGAAGTGGCAAAGCAGTTGCGTCGCTTCTTGTTTTAAAAGCAGCTCATTTCGCAGTAGAGATGAGGTCAGGATTTCTACTGTCTGAATTTGGTATATTTAATATATTAAATTTATTAATAATCTTGAATTTTGTTTCTACGAAGAATTATATTCTATATCATGAAGTAATAAATATCCTAAAAATTACTTTCATTATGAAATACTTCTCTAATTCAGCCTTAAGCACATATTCTAACCCTAATTTAAAACGGAAGTTAAATGGTGTGAATCAGGAAAGAGCGCGAAACTTAAACAGCAGCAATATCTTTATTCTCCGATGTGAAAAATACAAAACCATAAAAACACGTATCTTCGAATTTAAGAATCCAAACTTGCAGAAACAAAAACAAACAAACAAGGAAGCGCAAAATACTCTTGTTACCAACACAAACGTCACATGTAAAACAAAACAACATACGCTTCAATTTAAAAAAAAACTACTTCAGGACAACAAGACGAAAAGCAACAACAGACGCAAGGAAACAAAACACAAGCTCAACCCCACAATACAGAAGACGCAAAACTTACTCAAACAAAAGAAATACGTGAATCAACAACATATAATTAAGCCCAGGAAACCGAACATACACTCATAGATGCTATGAAAATTTGAGTATTCTGCGAGTATGCCCATCTCAAACAAACAGCTGCATCGACGTACTCATCACGAGATTGAAGACATCACCAAACAAGTGAAACCTGAGATGTTAGTCATAAGCGAAACTTGTTTGTATAAAAATAATTGATTTTAAATGCAAGGATATTCAGTTATAAGAAAATCTAAATTAAATAGAAATGACCAAAACAGAGGAATCAATCTGGTCTTTCAGTAAAAGAAGTGGTAACAAATATCAGCTTTCGATACCCGTGGTGGGCAGAGCACAGATAGCCCATTGTGTAGCTTTGTGCTTAACTACAAACAAACAAACAAATACCACCAATGAGTGTATAGCAATTGATGTTTATATTAATAATTCCATGTACGTGACGGTAGCAGACATTTACTGCTCACCATCAAGATATAGCTGTCAACCCATTAAGGAACATCCATTTATACAACCCAAACTCAATCTTCGTAGCATAGATTATCTAGATGTAAGAAAACAAATGGAAATGGCAGACGTTTGTTAGAATTTATAGGTAATACAAATATTGTACTATCAAATGATGCTACCTCGACTCGTACAACACTAATGGCATGCAGGATCTTTGTTTGTTTGTGCTCATTTCAAGTCGGACAAGACGTAGAGGATGGTCATCTTCCTATTTGGTGTGTCTTCAATCTGATCTCCCACATGAATATATCAATACTAACCGTGTGTCTTCAATCTGATCCCCCACATGAATATATCAATACTAACCGTGTGTCTTCAATCTGATCCCCCACATGAATATATCAATACTAACCGTGTGTCTTCAGTCTGATCCCCCACATGAATATATCAATACTAACCGGAATGAATACAGATTAATCATAGATAATATTTTACCAAAATAAATACCGAATATCTGAAATCGATGCATACTGTCAAACAATCATTGGATACCTCACACCAGCCGCGAAACATTCAATATACCCAATCAAGAACCACATACACGTGGCGACCACACATAACCAATAACAATGATAAAAATAAATAAAGACGAAAGCTACGTACACAATACGTGCAAAATAGAGATCCTACAATTAAAACAAATAAATACATTCAGAAACAAAATCTGAAAAGAAGGGTCGATTGTTTTGTTTAATTGTTTAGATCTTGAACGGTAGTTTCGGGTTGAGTATTTGAGAGTCGTTTTAGATGTGTCTAGAATTGTTTCGTTTGTGTTATGTGTTTCTAGAGACGATTTGAAAAGGCTGAAACATTTACAGAACACGTTCCGGACACACCATGAACCAAACATTTCTTTAATGAGATGAACAAGTATGTAACACCAAACATAAACCTGTATACACCACGATTCCCTGCTAACATACACAACGACGATGGAAACTACAATACTGCTATATATCAGATGACAAAAACCATGTAAGTTAAACAAGCGATTAAAGCTACAAAAAACAAAGCTCCCGGAGAAGATGGCTTTCGAGCTACCCTACTCAAAAAAAGGCACTCTGAGATCGTTTGAACACCTAACAGCCCTTTTTAACCTTTCATTAAACTCTGGATACATCCCTGTTTCTTAGAAAAGCGATTGTCTTAATGTTCCACAAAGAAGGGAAGCCAGCCAATAAATCAAACAGCTACCACCAGACCAGCTATGTAGGAAACATTCTAAGAAGAATGACCAGTAACTGACTCTCCAGATTCTTGGAGATTACTTTACAATTACTTGGAATCCAAAGATTTAGACAGACTACAGGCCACTTAATTTGACTAATAGTCAATCATAGATAGCTTTAATAAGAAATAATGCACTGTCGCATGCTTTCTTGATATCGATAAGACATTCGACACTGTAAGACACAATGGTCTAAGGTTCCGTATGTTAGAAATGGAACTGGCGCGTGGTGTTATTCGCTGGCTATCAAACCTTCTGGAGAACAGAAAATGTAAAGCAAGTGTAGGGGGAACCTGCTCGGAGTCATTTACCCCAGAGACGGGTGTCTCTCAAGGAGGGGTAGTTAGCCCTATCTGTATGTAAGCAATATGCCCCTTAAGGATTCAAATCTGCTAACGATGTTGCAGTTTGGAAAAGTGCTCCCACCCCTTCAATAACAGCAACAAATTTATAACCACAGTTAAGTAGTATCGTAGAATATTACCAAAAAATACCGTATCAAAATATACGTCCCCAAAAATCAGTTGGTAGTATTCGCAAAACTAAAAAACAAAAAAAGATCCAACCAAACTATATATGAATGGGACACTTCACCAGACCACAACATCAGCCAAATTCCAAGGATTAACCTACGATTAACGTGGGTTAAACACATAAATAATATTATAACCAAAGCTTTGCATCGTACGAATTATGCCAGGAGTCTAACGGACAAAAACAACGGAATTTCAGCTAACAACATAATTAAAATCTACATAACATACTTACGTCGAGTAATTGAATATGCAATTACTAGACATGGATAAACATATCACAAAACTACATCAATGCATGCCCGGACATGGATAAACATATCACAAAACCACATCGATGCATGCCCGGACATGGATAAACACATCACAAAACCACATCAATGCATGCCCGGACATGGATAAACATATCACAAAACCACATCAATGCATGTCCGGACATGGATAA